GGGGGGGGTAGGAGTAACAGTTGCAGTCGAGAAAGAAAGGAAAGAGCGTTTAACTTACTCAATTAAGCACTTAAAGCAATGTTGAATTCAAAAGTATGCAAACATTTATCATATCATACGTATTATATGCAAACACATGCAGACACACACACACACAAACACACACACACACACACACACACACACACACACGCACACGCATACACACACACATACACACACACACACACACACACACACACACACACTCACACACACTCTCACACTCTCTCAGCTTTTCTGTCTATGTCTCTTTCCAGTTTATTTGTCTAGCAAGGATCCTGTCAAGCGACAAACAGGCCCCCGCCCCCTTTCCGCCACAAAATGACACCTCCTCACAATTAAAAAAAAACCCAACAACAACAACAAGAAAAAAAATAAACAAATCAAAACACCCCACCCCACCTTTTCCCCCCATCCCCAGGAAAAAAACCCCAGAAAAAATTGAAAAACCCCAAACCTAAACCTCTCCAACTATGACAACAACCCCTTTTCCACCTGCGGCCAGTGGCGGTGGGTGGTTCTAAATGTGGGTGGGGCTGAGAAATCAGGGTAAGTAGAGTTCAAAGGTAAGATTTCCTTGGTTCAGGGGACATTCCAGATATGTGTGAGTATATTTCATTCACACACTCATACGCAAACGCGGTCATCTGACCTTTTACAGTTGTGAGCGCCGTAAAACACCTTCCAACAAAATTAATTAATTAATTAATTAATTAAACACGCAAACGCAAACATACAACAGTAACTGGATTAGGCTGTGGGGTCGCAGAAAGCAAGGCATTCCTAAAACGTGGGCCCGTGGACGTGTTTTGGTTACTGGGTCTCTGGGGAAAGTGTGTAAAGAACTTCCTCCCCATTGTCTGGACTAGCAGAGATCGAGCTCCCTCTAAGAACAGTATCCGCGGGCTCTCGTTTGGTTCTTTTTTTTAAACACTTTTTTTCAAGTAGAGTTTAATTAAAAAAGGACCGCCGGAATGGGCTCATCCTTTGCTGAGCCCTGAACACATTTGATTGGCTGTTAGGTTACTATTGTTGTGCGGTTGCTACAGGGATTGGATAAACGAGCTAGCGTGTGTGTTCACCGCATGCGACTAAAGGCGGAGGAGGAAGATTCTGAAACAGTTCTAAAGGTTTCAACTGATTATCTCGTTTTTTAGAAGGAACATTCATTTACGGAGGGAAATAGTTGGGGGTGGGGCTCAAGCCCTTTAGCCCTTCACTACACCCCGCCACTGCCTGCGGCCTTCTGTTGCTACCAGTCAAAACCAAACCGGGATACTGTTTCAGAAATTCGCCACACCTACCCCTTTTCCCTCTCGCCTGTCCTAACATCCGAGAGACTTGGAGACTCTAGGCAGGGCTGGGGGTGACTTCCGGTACTACCCACTGGGACGTGGATAGGTGGCAGCTTCTGATGGCACGCAGACAAAAATATGTTTGTCAGATTATTGTTGTTAAAAACTTACATTACACAAAACTGACACAGAATAAAAGGAAATGGTGTTATAAAACAATTAATATATGGATTAATAAAGATAAAGAAGACAGTTTCTGGCGTTCAAATTGATATGCTGAAGGACAAAGGTACCAGAGGCACACACCTATTTACAAGAGTGTCCTAGGCATGAAATGGTCTCGGAGTGACACTGAAAGTCTTCGATGCGTATTAGTATAAAAAGTAATGTACTGGATCGAAAGCTGAGATGAGCGTTTGTGTCTTCCCGTCTTAGAACAGTATAACAGAAAAGCCATGCTTGGAAAATGAAAGCACAACGTATGCACTTACTATGAAAAAAGAACCCACTCTGCCCAACAATCAACTTAACAAGAAGTTAATGAAATACCAACAAATGGATGTATGGATGGTTATCTGAATGTCTAAATAAAAGAATAAATAGAGGTCTGAACTAACAATTAACTGGATATATCTAAATTAGAGATTAAATGGATGTCTGAACTAACGATTAACTGGATGTCTAAATTAAACATCAAATGGAGGCCTGAATGAACGATTAATTAGGTGCCCGAATGAACGATTGACTGAAAGCCTGAATGAATGATTACCTAGGTGTCTGAATGAATGATTAACTGTGTGTCTGAATGAATGATAATCTGTGTGTCTGAATGAATGATTAACTGTGTGATTAACTGGGTGTCTTAATGAACGATTAACTGTGTGTCTGAAAGAATATTAACTGGATGTATTGATGTACAATTACCTGGGTGTCTGAGTGAATAATTAACTGGGTGTCTGAATGAACGATTGTCTGATACTGATAGCCTGAATGAACGATTAACTGGATGTGTAAAAGTACCGTTAACTGGAAGTCTGAATGAACTATCAACTAGCTGTCTGAATGCACAAACAGACCATACGGTTTACCTTGTGAGAGGCTCCCTGTAACATAGAGGGCGGCACCCTTCTGACGTCACTACTGCAGCTGTCTCCATCCCGACTCTGGTTGTAACAGGTCAGACCTCTGACGTCACAGATGGTCACACTGGGTAGAGTGATAGGGCGTTTTATCTCCACATTAGGTAGCGGCACCGGGCCCCGGTATAAGGTCGGCCCACTGGGCACGTAGTCCGTGTACTTCCGGATCAGGCGAAGAGCTTCGCTGGACGTTGGCATGGTCGGCCTCTGGAAAGTTTAGCCTCTGTTATTCCTCCTGGTGCACAAGAAACGTAAGTCAGAAAGTATCGAACAGTCAGTGAGGATTTCTTTCCTCCTAAAGCTGTCTGTTAAGTAAGGTTTTACGGCGCTCGCAACGGCATAATGAGGTCATATGAGCGCCGAGGGGTGGATGTCAGCAGAGAAGTCCAAACAGGGAATCAGACTTACTCTGCTCACCTTTCTAGCCTCAACAGCACAATCTGCTTCGACTATCAGGGCACCCCGGAAATAACAGTTCACAAGAGAATGACAAACTTACAAAAGAAGCAGAAGAAAAATGTAAAATGACGATAGTAAGGATAATGAAAGAAAAAGCAGCTGTTCACCACTGCCTTTGTTTACTATTGTTTGAATAAAGAAAAACACACATTAACATAATCACATTCGTTAAATGTCAAGAAAAAAATCAAAACAAATAAATAATAAACAGAAACGACAGAGGGATTTAAAAGAAATATGACAGACCAGTGTTTGAAAAACTCAATAATAATGCAAATTCACTCGTGCACACACTTAAGTAAGAATAACATATGCACCCGTCTGTTTTTAAGGAGAGAGGTGCTTGCATATCCCCGTCTTCATGTTATTCCATGTAATGCTTGGATCGACGAACAGTGAGAAGAAGCAGAGACTTACGTGTCAGAGCGGGAGAGAGAGAGAGAGAGAGAGAGAGAGAGAGAGAGAGAGAGAGAGAGAGAGAGAGAGAGAAAAGGGAATGGGAGACAGCGTTTGAAGAAAGCTTTTAGATGAAAGCACAGAAAATTTTCTCAATAGCTGAAGAAAGCCATTAGTAAAGGTCGATCACCATTATA